ATACAGTGATACGGGACCAACCAATGTTTGAAGAGCTTGAAAAATCTATTTAAAATTGCAATCCACTTTATTCCTCTGAAATAATAAGCGTTCTCCTCTCAAGTTGTTTTATGGAAATAATTTTAGAGAGGCGTGTGTAAATTTTGAATTTATTCGTTCATTTGGGTGGAAATGAGAGACGAATTGTAGATATTCTTCGGTTAAACCGAATAGAAAAGTGTGCACTTTCATTCCCAAGTATATTTTACGATACTTCGTACTTATTTCCTTCTGAAAAACAGAATTCGAAATATATTGGATAAATCCAAATTAATAATCGATGACATCGTATTTTTAAAAATGTATAATACGAACCCAGAAATATTTTCCAATCATCCGTCATCATTAGCGTCGCGCAAATTTCAAACGTGTAATATAATGTTCATCGATCGCAAATTCATCTCGATAGATGACAAGGAAAAATTACAATAATTATGATTGTAAAAATTATCTTGAAACGTAATCCATCTATTTCATTCGTTATAAGAAGTTTGATCGAGTTAATTAAATCGTATAGTCAAGATATAATCAATAGATACATTTCGAATCACTATATTGTCTCAAACAATAATAAACTTTCACATAGATAGAATTTCCCTACTTTCACTTTAGTTCTTATTATAATTTTCACTATGATTGTGCAATAAGGTACAAATCACCATTACTCTATACACTTCTTCACCGTTAAATTTCTCACAACACAATGCATAAACACAACACGTCATAATCAAATAAATAAAACCCATAATTTCATCCACAGCGTCACAAGTGTACAGCATCAAAAATCGATCCGACTTGGAAATAATCAGCCGGTCTCGGTCAGTCGTCGTTCTTTTCTTTACTTTTCTTTTCTTTTCTTTTTTCATTTCGAGATATCGTCGCGTGGAAACCCATGGACATTTCACGTCCGTCTATTTCCCGCCGCTTGCATAATGCATGCGCCGCATCCGTGCACTCCGCAGCATTCCCTTTTGCACTTACTTCTCCTCCCATCCCAGGGGGGAGGTTGCGATACTTTGTTTGCCGCCGTTGGCCCTCGTACGTCGTGCTCTTTCCACAGTTGGCCGACCCCGCTCGTCCCACGAGATCTCCTGCACTCTTGTGAATCGCATCCTCCAGATATTCGTCCCTACCTTCCCTCCTCTTTCTGCCTTAATTACGATCATTTCTATCGAGAATTTTCGGCTTGATCTTCAGACCGTGGAAAAGCATATCTCGCGAATCTTGGTTGGTTGAACCTTCTGGGACTGTTCTTTACGCAGTGTCTTCATATATTCTTGTTTGGGAAGTAATTAATGGTAATTAAGGAGGGGTGGATAATGGAAGAAATTGTGACTCGAAGTAAGGATTTTGGAACAGTTTTAATAATGAATTTGTTGCAGGAGGTTGAAAAAGAAACGATATGTTCGATTTTTGTGTTTTTTTTTAAATTTCGAAGCTAATTTTGGAAAGAAAAAAATTGGAAGAATGAAAAGAAAATTCCGAACTTTTTTACAGTTTAAATCCAATCGAATTAAAAGGATTTTTCTCGAAGTAAAGGAATTTTAATCTATACTTTTTTTTTTTTTTTTATATTACTTTAATGGATAAAAACCAAGATGCACGCGGTAACACATGATAATCTTTTATTTCCAAAAACTCGCAAAAACACGATACAATACGATAAACGTATACGACAGATTCTCGACAGACCGTATACCCTCGTTTTTCCTACCCCTAAAGGTCAGGAATTCCGGCAGTGCATTAAAGTTTAACCGTGCAAGTCAAACACAGTATTAACCGCGTTGTTTACGTTCACGATGGAATTCCAGTCGCTTCGTATCTCACAATTAGATCCTTCTAGTCCCCAGCTTCTGGACCGACGGCCTCGTCCGTGGACCAACGATCCTCCGGATTGTGGAGGGTTGAACATCGATCGCGGTTGAAAGGATTTGGAATGTAACCTATTCAGATCGTGCTCCTCCACCTCCATCCCCTTCTCTCCTCCTCGTCTTCTCTCCCTCGACACGCTGATCAATATGTGCGGGGGAAAGTCTTTCTCGGGTTTCCCGTCACGTTTTTCAGCCGGAGATACGTCCATTCTAGGCCGCGTGATTCTTCTTTATCAGACCCATTTTGACATTTATCTGATTAAAATCGAACGATCCGTTTCCTTTGAGGGCGAGACCCCTCCCTTTTCGAGCCCCTCCTCACGTTTCAATACATCAAACGCTAATTTTGATATCTCATTTCGAGTACAGTGAACGTCTCGAGAATATAAATTATTCGCTTCGGTTGAAATAAATTTCTTTTCTTCTTCTTCTTTTTTCTTTTTTTTTTTTTTTTT